TCTACATTGAGGGAGCATGGATTCAACTGGATAGAGGGTTCAGTGCTGAAACTCTGGTCCACGCCTTTATCACCTCAAGGCTGGACTATGGGAACTCTCTCCTCGCCGGCCTTCCCGCCACCTCCCTCCACAAGCTGCAGGTCATTCAGAACTCTGCAGCTCGTGTACTGTCCCGCACCAGGCTTCGCGACCACATCACTCCCACCCTCGCTCGCCTCCACTGGCTCCCCATCCCCCAGAGGATCGAATTCAAGATCCTCATCCTCACCTACAAGGCCATTCACGGCCTCGCTCCCTCCTACCTCTCTGACCTACTATTCCCCTACTTACCTGCCTATACCCTCCGTTTTTCTGGCTCCGGTCTGCTCCACATCCCCCGCCCCAACTGCCCTACCATCGTTTGCTGGGCCTTCAGCCTCTCAGCCCCTCGGCTTTGGAACTCTATCTCCCAGTGCCTTCGCCGGCTCCTCCCTTTCCTCCTTCAAGGCCAGTCTCAAGACCTTTCTCTTTGACCGTGCCTTCAGCTCACCCTCTCGACTCTCTACCCCCTCCTCACTCCCTCCCTTCCCTCCCCTCACCCTGACCATTTCCCCCCTGCTCGGGTCCTGTCCCAACTGTACAGCGCCTTGGGACGTCCTCCCGACGTGAAAGGCGCTCTATAAATGGAATCCTGTTGTTGTTGTTAAGTGGACAGATTGTTTAGATTTATTTCCTTTATTTCCTATTGTGGTGAATCTGTGGAATGGATTTCTCACTGGGGCAAATGGTAATAATAATAAACCTTGCATTTGACATAGCATCTTACCACATCATTGAGATGTCTCAAAGCGCTTCACAGGATATTCTGTAAAGTGGTTTGACTTTATTTGTGGCAGCCAGTTTGCATACAGCAGTGTCCCACAAACAGCCATTGAATGAGTGACCAGTTTGTTTTATTTGGAGGATTGTTGGCAAGGACACTGGGAGAAACTCCCTTCTCTTTTCAAATATGGGACCTTTAACATCCACCTGAAGAGGCAGATGGGACCTTGGTTTAATGTCTCAACCAAAGGACTGCACATCCAACACTCTCCCAGGACTGCATTACGATTTCACCTTACACTGTGTGATTCTAAATCCCGAGGTGGGGCTTGGACTCACAAACCTTCTGACTCAGAGGCGAGAGTCCTACCACTGAACCAGACTGACACTACAAGGAGGTAGATAGTTATATAGCAAAGAAATTGATCTCAGTGGTATTCACATAATTAAATACATAAATAAGTAACGTATTAAAAGTAAGGCCTAATTTTGTTATGCTCTTTTCCAATATTATACATTTGGTAAACCATTCCAGCTGTTAATTACCATTTGTGGTGTCTGTCTTAAAACCCACCATGACCCTGTGACTTCTTGCCTGCAGTATTAAAAATATTATTCTTGTTTTATACTTGCTTAGATTATAAGAACATAAGAATTTGCATAAGAAGACCAAGGTCCATCTAGCTCACCTTCCACCATCCTGGCAGTCGCTTGACATGTCATGTCGCAAACTATAAACTGTATCCCAAAATATTATTTTCTAGTTGCAAACTATCTACTTTGTTATTGGAACAAACAGCATTTTCTGCTTCCACTGTCTCTGTTCCAATAAGTATATAATTCTCTTGAATGTCTCCACTTTGAGGATGAAGAACCCTAACTTAACCAATTCTTCCTCATTGTTCGTGACTTTGCTGTTCTCTTCACAACTCTTAGTTTCAACAACAAGAACCATTCATACTATTCCCAATGTTGTTTGAACAGAAAACTGTACCATTAGAGATCTACTCCCTATTCCATGGAAACTATGACTATGTTTTTAGGCTATGCGCATAGTAATCAGAAAAATCGGCTCATATTATTCTAGAGATGCAACAAAGATTGAAGAAAGTCAAGAGCAACAACTTGCATTTAACATAGCACCCTTCACGCAGGGTATCATCTCAGAGTGTTTAACAATGGTGTACAGTAGTTTGACACTGAGTCGGAGAGAGGAGAGGTGACCAAGGGATGGTCGAAGTGGAAAATCCTCAGATACGATCAGTAGATGATGATGGGAACAGGAAACATGCTTCTTGACAAAGCTGCCTGATGTCTCATTCCGTGAATGTGAATCATGCTTATAAACTTCCAATATTCTGTTTTGTATTTTATTACTATTCTTCTGAATGCGACTGGCTGCATAGTTCGATGTGGTATTTGTTTTTGTGCAAGTGGGCTGTGTGCAATAAATAACTTAGCAAGATGTTTAACAGACAGTGTTTATTTGCAATGTAATAAACAGCAGCGCAGAATTTCCACACTTTCTTTGGCGTGTATAGCACTTAGACGATAGCCAGAATAAGTACCAGGAAAATGTACAAGATTACAGAGAAACATACATTATAAAAAANCATGATCCAGGAACTGCAATCCTCAAACCACAGACTGTTCTTAGGATATTGCTTTTGTTCATCTCAGCTTTCCACTTAATCAAACACAAACAGAACATGCAAAACAGTATAGTGTTTGAAATGTATCAACTCAAAACCAATCTCGCTTCTCATTATAAATGTACACATGTCCAAACCAAGTTTATCTGTATGCTGAGTAGTTAAGAGATGTTGAAGCTTAATTTCTTTAGTACTGTACAGACTAAACATATCAAAGCAATGATCGGAAAGCAAGCACAACACGCAGAGAATCTAAACCATTTTCAAACTCAAACCAGTCACAAGCCCTTTACAAAATCAACAACAACAACAGGCATTTATGAAGTGCATGAAAGTGATGTCAACACCGCGACCAGTCCATCGATAGATCAGCTCTGTTTAGGCCCAGAATTGCACCTAGTCTCAGCCTGTATGACCAATTAGCCCTACATTTAACTATTTGCATAGAATTGTGCAAAATCTTTTAAAATCCAGTCTTGATTTGGAAGCTGATGGCTTTTAAGACCTGCAGAGAACCCACTTTCAAATTAAGACGGAATTTAAGAATTTTCCACAATTCTGCACGATTTTAAATTTCAGTAATTCTAATAATAATCCTTACATTTGATATAATGCATAATCAAGTCGTCGAGACATTTCAAAACGCTTTTTTAAGTCAAAATTTCGCCCACAAAATACAGTCAATGCACATTACAGTATATTCTATGAAGTGCTTTGAGACAACTCGACAACATGAATAGGTGCTATATCAAATGCAAGGATTATTATTAAAACATCTGAGAGAGAAAAACTTGGTGAAATTCCGGGTCAGTTGTGCCATAGAATAGAAAACTTGAGAGCTTCTCCTCCACGTTAGCGGTATGAACAGTGATAAGAATATAAGAATAGGACAGTTAACTCATCCAGTTCATTCACTCAATCCCTCCCTCCCTTTCTCAGCATCAAATCTGGCTATTGTTAGGAGGTGGGCTTTTTCTTTGTCTAGACTCGTATCCCTCTACTAGTTCTGAAGAAGGATCATATAATCAAGCTTTCCTTTCTTTCAGGGGCCAATTGATCTGTGATGCCTTTCCAACAATTTCTGGTTTGGGTTCATATTTGCAGCCTTTTCATCTTGCATTTATACACTGCTGCATCGAATGGAACCAATGAAGATCAAAGTGAAAATTGTCCTGGAGAAATCAAGATTCTTAATTGAAAAAAGGCAGAATCCTAACATTCTATTATTTAAGAGTTCTCACATCTTTTAGCAATTATAGAGAGTTAAATAGAGTCATATGGCACAGATATAGGCCATTTGACCCAACTAGTTTGCACCACTGTTTATACTCCACATGTGCCTCTGCCCCACCCCCCTCCCCGTTCCCTTTCCTTCATGAATTCATCTCATTTTAAATATATGTTTATGCTTTTTGATTGAACCAGCAGTGAGTTCCACATTCTCTTCATTTACCTTTGAGGTACTCTCTGGGTCAATGCTACATGCTGAAACTGGTTATGTTCTGGTTATTTTTAACTGCTTTACACACTGGTGCTATCAGGGGGTTGACCATTGGGTAGAATCCACAGTAAGTAGGAACCCAGTTGTTTGTCGATTGGCGTATTGCTTTTCTGGGGGTAATAATTCCTTTAAAAATTTTTTTAATAATTGGTCACTTCACTCCACAACTGTTTGTGGGACACTGCTGTGCGCAATTGGCTGCTGCGTTTCGCCCACAAACTAGACAGTCAATTCACTTTACAGTATATTCTGTGAAGCGCTTTGAGACGTCTCAAATACGTGATAAAGTGCTATATCAAATGCAAGGATTATTATTATTGAGATATTTCTGTTACCTCTCTTGGTGTCTGTTGCTGTTTATATTAAGCGCTCTGAGACGCAATCCCGTGTGAAAGGCGCTACATAAATGCAAGTTGTTTGTAGTAGTATTTACTGTCAAGCGAGTGAGCCATTATCTCAGTTGCAAACTAGACTGCAGTACTGAGCATCTGTGTTGGACGTCCCATTATTAAATATCTAACAAAACACCACATATCATGTACGAATGTCTGAGGACAAGTCAAGCTACATGGGAAAAAATAATTCATATTCTTTTCTATGGTATTTCTGAACCACCCACATACATCTTTTAAATATACATAATGTTCAGCTGCAGTAAGATACACATCTGTTTACACTTTTGAAAGGGTTTTTATACCAAGAGCCATTTAACACAACACACTATAAATAGAAAGCTTTTCTCATTATGACAAGAACAATTTGCACTCATATAGCACCTTTGACTGCAAGTCATTGTAGTCAAACATATAGGTTTTCAGCAGGTTTTGAAAGCAGACAGGGAGAAAGTAACGTGAAAGGACTGAGGAAGTGAGCTCCAGAGATTGGGCCAAGGTGGCTCATCTTCCGATCGTGGAGTGAAGGAGGGGAATAGACCTCAGGAGATTGCAGACATAGGGTGAGGCAAGTCCATGAAGGCATTTGAAGGTAAGAACAAGAATCTTAACGTTGATCCATTGCAGAATAGAGAGCCAGTGGAGCCTGGCGAGGATTGGGTGATGGGCTTGTGGAGCCTTATGTGGAAAAAAATGTGCTCTAGACTTCTGGACGATCCTGTGCTCATGGACGGTAGAGCCTGGAAGGATGACAAAAAAGTTATTAGAGATATCAAGTCTAGAGGTGACAAAGGTGTGGATGAGGACATTGACTGTGTTGAGGATGAGGCAGGGATGAAGGCGAGTAATGTTTTGGAGATGGAGGAAGGCAGACTTGGTCATGGAGGCGCTGAAAAAAAATTAGAAAAGTGAGGGTCATAGAAAACACAAAAATTTTATACTGGATTTGTGAGCGATACACATTTCTTTTAACAATAGGAGCACGATAGACCCCAATATCTGAAGCTGCCAGGACGAACCCACTCCTGGTCTTATTCTTTTAATGGGCAAATAGCCAATATCATGATGTATATAAATCTCTTTGCTACACTGTATATAAATATCCTTCAGCTTTAAGCAGGCCTGTTGCACATCAGCTGCCACAATATCCAAAAAATTGAATCCAGAGCAAATTTCTGAAAAGGCAACATATCTGAGTTTTGAAGGAACATGGTGATGGTTTAAGCAACTAAACAATCACGTAAAACAATTATTATATCAGCAAACCAATGGAGTTGTTCTTAGAACTCTGTCCTCCAAACTACTCGTGTGGCAAATCACGATTTCACATTTTTGATCGTGCTCCGCCATTGTCAACCTCTCTGGGATGCTACCCTGAGTGAGGGGTGCTATATAAATGCAAGTTGGTTTTGGTAAATCCTTAACTTTAATCTTTTCTTCTTGCTATTATCTTCTTATTTTCAGTATTAATGTCGACAGTAACAGAAAAAAGGTAATGCATCCCAGCGCAATTACAAGTGCACGATGAAATGAGTCAAGCCACATCCTGTAATATTAAATAAATAGGGTGTCAGTCTGGCTCAGCTGGTAGTACCCTCACTCCAAGTCAGAAAGTTATGAGTTCGAGCCACGTGTCGGGACTCTGAACTCATGCAGTCTAGGCTGGTTAGAGAGAAGACTTAAATTTAGGTCAAACAATTCCTTACCCTTTCCTTGTAAAATCAACTTTGAATTGAGAGTCTAGGCTGACAGTCCAGCACAGTGTTGGAGGAGAGTTGTATTGTCGGAAACGCTGTCCTTCGGATGAGACATTAAATTGAGGTACAAATACAGTCACTTTCCAGTAAAATCCTCTGAAGCACTTTGAGACATTGCTATATCATGAGGAGGCGCTACATCAAATGCAAGGATTATTATTATAACTTGTATTCTTGGGAAAAAATGTTTACAGATTTGTACTCCAAGGTTGACTAAAATATTACAATTTTTCTGAACCTGCTACTGAACATCATCTCCCTCCCACCCACCCCTTCCAACCAGGTTCAGATAGTGCCATACCTTGATCTTAGCATATTATTTTTCACATGGAGTTGCAAGATCTTGAAGGGCAGGGTTGCATCCAGCATGTGTTAGTGGCAAATAGTTGCTGCAGCTGTTAACTTGTTACACATGCTGGAAACCGACATCAGGGTGACACCAGAGCACCACTGTAATTAGAAGCTCTTTTTATTATAGAGGCTGTATTGGGGACATTTGACCTGCCGCTACTTTTGTCCCAATTAAAACTAAATTCTACTCGCAACAAATAGTTACAAGGTGAATTAATTGACCTCTGTTCTCTTTCCCAATCCCACTTTGCTCCAGAAATCTACGTTCTGAACCTTTCAAACAGGAAGAAGAAATCCACACTAGATTGAACTTGTATCAATTTGATTACATCTCTGATATTTCTGCCAAACCCCAAAGTTGGCTTCCTGCACGAGAGGTGTAGATAATGTACAAACCTGCTGTATCACAAAGTGGTCACAACTTATTCCATTCACTTGATTTCTCTCACACAGCGCGTTTCTAACCCAACAAGGAAATACTGAGCAGAAATTCTTATAATAATCCTTGCATTTGATGTAGCATCTCATTATATCATTGAGACATCTCAAAGCACTTCACAGAATATATTGTAAAGTGCATTTTGTAGGCAAACCTCGGTGAGCAATTGCGCACAGCAGTGTCTCACAAACAGTCAATAGATTGAGTGGCCACATTTCTTTGGAGGGGAGGGATTATTACCCTCGGAAAACGATTCACCAATCGACTAATAACCAATTTCCTACTTACTGCTAGAGGCGTGTGGAGTAGGGAAACTTGCCTAAGGTTTCACCCTGGGTTCTCTCGCTTGCGAAGCAAACTCACCAACCACTATGCTACAGGACTCCACGTAATTTTCAAATGCCTTTGCAGTCTTACCCCAAACCATGATCACCTGCGAGCCCACCTATTCCATCCAATGTACCACTCGGGTCCACTTCATACCTCCTGTCCTCTCTGCCTCAGTGGGCAAGCTTCAGCCAATTTGCCTATTAGTTTTCAAAGCCCAACTAAACATCAGCCTGTCTCTCCCACCCTGCCTTCGCCCACCTCCGTCCTACCATCACCCACCAACCCTCCCTCATCTCTCACCCTGCTCAGATTCCCATTCTGTTTCTGTAAAGCACCGGTCATGTGAAAATGTTCAAGTGGTTGTGGTAGTTTCACAGAGAATGTTTCATTTTTAGTGAAGGTTCATCAGCAAATGGTGCGTTCTGGATCAGACTCCACTAAACGTATTAGGAACTCTGTCATCCAAACCCAACATACAATCCTAATCACAATGCTTACATTTGGCACAGCACCTTTCACATCAGGAGGATTTCCCAAAGCGCTTTACAGGATGTACTGTAAAGTGTAGTGACTGTATGTTTGGTGGGTGATTATTTTCTTGTAATGCTTGTGAATCGTTTAGACTTTCAAGATTCTAAGGAGTCTGGATAGCCCTGAACCTAAATAACATTTTACATAACTACAATCCCTATAAGGGGACACACTGAAGATCTGTAGAGGGAGGATGAACAAACAGATTAGTTTGCATTACTTTATAGGTGAACACATGGGTTCTGTGAGCTATGTAATAAGCAAGTTGCATGCCCAGGGAGACAGCAGAGGCAGGCATCATCGATAAATTCAAGAGGGAATGGATAGATTTTTGGCAAAGAAAGCTGTTTAAGGTATAATAGATTAAGTGCAGGATTCTTTCTATTTTGGGATTGAACAGATGGATGGCAGCGATCTTTTACATTCCTACTCAAGAGATTTGCCCACAAAATATACAGTCACTCAGCCTTACAGTATATTCTGTGAAACGCATTGAGATATGTCGAAGACGTGTTAAGGCGTTATATCAAATGCAAGGATTATTATTATTGCTCTTCAACATATTTTCTTCTCGTGCATTGCCTATTTTTATTCTTTCTTTAAACTATTTTATAACTCTCGTGTTAAATTTGTGTTAAATTTTCTCGTGCCCCGATTCTCTTGAAAGCATTGGGTCAGCCTGGGGTTTGGTTCCACCAATCACCCCTCCACTAGCTTGCCACAGGCTATTTGAAATGTGGGAAGGTCAAACCCAGTGAAGACACACTGCTGCTCTAACTGAGTTCAGCTAATTCAGCATAGGTTGGGAATGGAACCCAGGACCTTCCTGATTTATATGGCTTAGATACTCAATGGATAAAATGCAATGAGAAGTCAGAGCAACCAGGACACTGCTGATGACAGGTCAGCCAGCCGGGCTCGTTGACAGGACATGAAGGTTCAGACCAGTCACTGGAGGTAGGGATACTCCCCACTCGGCCTCTGTTAACCCTGCAAATCAAAACTGGGTAGAGTGGTTCTCGCTGGACAAGCAGTACAAGACAGTGCTCTCAATGACTAGCTCAGTGATTTGAGCTCTTTCCAATCTTCAGCTAATATTCTATTTAGTTAAGCAGGGTGCCTTCCTCCAGGGCAAGAACATGCATTTAATTTCACAAAGGAAATTTCCACGTGTAGGTGGCAAACATATGTGGAACTTGCAGTCTGTTTTGGATACTCTTAAGCATGGTGATGGGTTTCTGCACATGTAAGACACCCAGCTGATCAAAAAGAAGCAATCAGAGAATCCTGTTTGGTTCTTACCATAGAGGTTTATACTTTTTGTTTATACCATTAATATTTCTTGAAAGGAATACTGCAGGATAACACCCTATAATAGTTTAACCTCAAGTATTTGTCAGACAAATGTACGTTGTAATTAAAATATACTGCTAGTGGGATAGCCTGTTTATTGGGACCACTGGCTTCCCTGAAATATAAAGATGGGGATGAAAACATTTCCAATTGTAAGCTAAATTAAGGGTATCAAGGGGTTTGGCATTGGAGTGAAACGTTAGCAAAGGGTTAAGATAAATAAAAGATTTCCTTATGAGCCTACTCGAGCTTTTGATCTTGTGATTTATCACATTATCTAGATCAGTTAAGCGTCTTCCAGCCTTGCACTCGCTTAGACTTTAAGTCACTATCTTTCAATTTATATGCCATATGACAGCTTAGTACTGCACAGTAGTTTAATGGGGTGAAACCATACATCAAAGTCCAATTGAAAAACATTATCAGAAGTACCAATGAACACTTCACTATACAGATAGACATCAAAGGCTGGAAGTTTACAGAAAATAAAGCTTTCAATGATACAAAGGTAGAAGTGAGTGATCTCATTGCTGTGGTTTACACTATTGGTTTATTCTGCTACAACAGTTCAAATGTCTGTTTCAATAAACATGGCATACAAATAGGTCAGAGTAGTTGAATGCTCCACTCTCTGGCACAGTTTCCATTCTGAGGTTGGGTGATGACATCAGACATTGAAGAACATAGAATTAGGTTAGGTAACAGGTTCAGAGGCAAGAAAAGGGAATTTTCTTTAGTTTGTTTTTTTCAACGACATGCAAAATTTGAGATCAATTTTGTGGATGTCTTACTTAACAAACCTGAACCTCTGTGATTGCGAGAAACGGGTGGCGTTCCCTCCAGTCAGAGTGGTTGGAAAGAGTATTACTCATTCACTTTATCTGTCATATGACAGCTTAGTAGTAAAGAATGTTGGGCAAGTTTCCTTACTCCAGACGCCACTGTTTACCTAGCAGTAAGTAGGAACCCAGTTGTTAGTTGATTGGAGGATTGCTTTCTGGGGGTAATAATCCCTTCCAATAATATGGACACTCAATCCACGACTGTTTGTGGGACCCTGCTGTGTGCAATTGGCTATCGCGTTTGGTTCACAAAATATAGTCAATTCACTTTACAATATATTCTGTGAAGCACTTTGAGATGTCTCGGAGACGTGATAAGGCACTACATTAAATGCAAGGATTATTATTATTATCCAATTATTTTTCTGATTTTCTCCCCACTGGCACGTGCCTCTCTGACCCTGGCTTCCAGTCACCTCGTGCTGGGGTGCAATCTTTTTATTTGGTCAACCGGGTGTCTGACATATATGGAATCCCCTTCACCATGCTTAAGAGGATCCAAGCCAGCCAATGTTCCACATATGTATGCCATCTGCAAATAGATATTCCCTTGTGTCTGAAGTGAAATGTGCACTCTTCCCCCACCCCCACCCCCCCTCACCGAAAGAACCTATCCTGCTTAGCTAATTCCGGAGAGTTTCAGACATCAATTGACCAAGAGATAAGATTTGGGGAAATTCCACCTTGTCAATCCCAGCTGCATCGCTTGTCATTGAGAGCACTGTCTGGCAAACTTCCCCTTACTTGTCCAGACAGGATAACGCATTAGGGTAGGGTTTGCAGAGTCAATAGTAGCTGAGCGGGAGGACTTCCTGTCCCCAGTGACTGGTCTGCTCCTCCAATTCCTGCCAATGAGCCAGGCTGCCTAGCTGGTGTTAAACTAGTTAATCTGTCAACATCAGCAGTGCGGATCCACCAGGCTCGGAAAATGGACTACCGAGACTACAACAAAGGATTGACTTGATTCTGACACTCCGTTGCAAAGAATGGTACCTTGCAGCCAGTTCAGCTCCAAAGAGACCGAACTACCCCTCACCCTCCCCGGTACAAAGTACTGCACAACAACAACTTGTATTTATAAGCGCCCTTCACATCAGACAAAGTCTCGGAGCGGTTTCATTCCTTTACTGGATTTCACGCCTGAGGGGAGCCTTCAGTAACCCATGTAAGCACTCTCCAGAAAGCTGACCCTAGATATTAATCAGGAGATGGAAACCTTGGCTTTTTTCTTGCAAGCCCCAGGATAAGCCAGGTTAAATGCAATGTTTTTATGAGCATCTGAGCTGCCCACAAGGAACAGGGATCAATTCTGATTTGTACAATTGACAGGACACTCCTGACTCCTCACTGGTGGGAAAGGGTCTGGGCGGAATTAGCACCACCTTGGAGGCTGTGCAAAGATTGCTGGTACATGGCTTGAAAGGGCAGTGAGTGTCTTTTGAAAAAGGTCCAATGCAGGGAAGTAAGAGAGAACATTACAACCTCATGTAACTAGTCTACACTCTTTAGGATTCAATGAAGATCACCCCTCAATTGTCTCTTCTCCAATCTAAACATTACCAACTTCTATGTAGCAGACCAAAAACAATGGTCATTCATTTCATGGCTGTTGGTGGGACATTGCTGCATGCAAATCGTCTGCTGTCCTCGCTCACAAAACACACACAGTCACTTGCACGTTACATTCCTGCGAAGCACTTTGGGATGTCCTCCTGTTGTGCTTAACCAAACATAATACTGGGGCAAAAATTCCACCTAGGTCTAAATTGACTCTATTTTCTTAAGCATTAAAATATAATCTTATTTTCAAAGAACTGGACGTTCTTTTAAGAATGGCAAGAAACCGACCTCAAAGGTAAGATCAAATCCAAGAATTTGCCAAATTCCGAACCCTCTGAAAGTAATAATAATAATTGCATTTGATATAGCACCTTATCACATCATCAAAGCGTCTCAAAGCGTTTCACAGAATATACTGTAAAGTGGTTTGTTTGACTGTAAGAAAGTAAAGTAAATCTAGACGTGGGGTAGAACTTCTCCCCAAGTAAGACTTAACAAGTGGTATCCCTGTAAAGAATATCTAAATGATTGGGAAAAAAATTATCACCAACCCAAAAATAAACCTTGAAACTGAATGTGCAATTGTTGAAAAGAAATCGTAAGAGCCTCCTAGCTGTTCCATTAATCAGCAGTTTATTTTTACCTTAATAGCCATTAAAAATCAGAAATAAAGATTCCATTCCTTTTATAGGTTTAAAAGGCTGAACCCCACCCCAGATAAAGTGCTTTTACACACAAGAGAGTTTGCAATCCTTGCACGTCTCCACCAATACAACCAGCTGAACTCTTTGTAAATTGTGTTTGAGTTGTCCAGTTAAACATTATTTGTGAATGCCCGTCTGACTTTGGAAGTATCCCAAAGAAAGCATGTTATAACATAGCGCAATAAGAAGTCTTGTACCAAGTGTGCTACATTTGAGAATACAACAGACATTTCTGTTCAAGACCATCAAATTCCAAGGCTGACATTTCTTTTTTTGACCATAAGATAATTCTAAACATTAAATAACTCTAACATGTGAAAATTTGCTTCTTCAGGACATTGCAGGTAAAGGACCAAATATAAGAATGAGGACTAAAGATTGTGTCCTAGAATGAATACACATTCTTACCTTGGTAAAAGATCCATGAAGAGCATCTGATGCATAGGTTTGAGGTAGGACAATACTCATGTACTTCAGAGAATACGGGATGGATTTCATTGGCCAAATGATTCCTGAGACAGAAAGTAAGATATGTAGATTAATGATCCGTTATTAAGGTTTACAATTAGTTGTTGTAATAAATGTAAGATTTTCCCGGTAAATAATGTAGATTTAATTTCATAATGTAGATTTCTTTTTTTTAAATTAAAATGTGTGCAGCATTGTACCAGGATACTTCAGTCCGTCCCTCTATCCCGTCCCTGCGTCCCCCCGTTGTCATTCCCCCCTCCCCCCCACCGACGAACATACTCTGCGTACCTAATTCTGGAAAATATTAGTCAAGTGTTGGCAAGAGCCAAGGCTTGGGGACCCGAAAGTGCACGTTGAAGTTGACATACTGTTCGCCATGATTTAACAGAATGGTGGAACAAGCTTGAGGAGCTGAATGGCTCACACTGTTCTATGGCGTACAGCTGGAGTCTAACTAGCTAAAATCACGTAGCTTGCCATTGAGAGCACTGTCTAGCAAGCTTTCCTACTGCTTGTCCAGCTAAGACCACCCTACCTGTTAGGGCTTTGGCTTGCGGGGTTAACAGGAGCCGAGCGGGAAGAATCCCTGGCGCCAGCGATCGGTCTGTCCCCACTTGATTCCAGACGAGATTTTAGTTTACAAAATACACAAGGCAATAAACCCCTCTATATTCGGTTCTTTGGAAACTATCACAGAACATAGTAACAGTGAGAGACATTTTGCGGAGTGCTTTGCATGGTTTCTCTGTAAGTGAGGGACAGATTAATCAGGCTGTGCATTATTATATCAGAGGACATATCAGAGGTTATTACACTGAGCAATTGATGGTTTTAAACTGATGAATAATATAATTTGAGAGCTAGAGATGATACTTTTGGAGTTTTAAATAGTCCAATTGATTCAGCAAAATAAGCATTATGCAAACCCACAAACCACGCTCTCTGTCAGCAACCTTTCCTTCCACTTCATGGCAAAGGACAAAACAATTAATCCAACAAGATAATGCTGAAAATTTTTTTTTAAAAAAAACAATCTCGGGTATTCTGCATGAATTTTATATTGGTGGGAACTTAAATAAAAAGTGCAGTTGTTAAGCCTGTCATTTACTTGTATTATTTTAATTTCTCTCCCTCTTTGTAAATCGTTGATCACCGCTATCACCCTTTATCGGCAACTCCATCCTGGAGCTCCTCTGCCTTGCCCCTCCCTCTCCACCTATAAAACCCATCTCTTTGACCAAAATTTTAGCCACCTTCCTTCAAGTAAGAGAAATTTTGCATGGAGTCCTGTAGCTCAGAGGTTAGAGCACTCGCCTCGCAAGCGAGAGATCTGGGTTTGATTCCCGGCAGGGCGAAACCTTGGGCAAGTTTCCTTACTTCACACACCTAATAATAATCCCTCAAGAAAAGCAATAAATTGGTCATAGTGCTCAATTGGCTGCCACGTTTCGCCCACCAAATATACAGTCAATTCACTTTACAGTATATCTTGTAAAGCGTTTTGAGACTTCTAGAAGACGTGAAAAGCTCTACATCAAATGCAAGGATTTTGACTATTATTATTAATTTTCCTAAGATATCTAAGAAATCCCTGTAATAAAACATTGACAAGGAAAGTAGAAGGATTACATGATTTGAAGGCTGCAAAATTACAGCAGGGCCATCACAGTCAAAGTCACATGCAAAATGTGGCCCATCAGATGATCCAGTTAGACACTATCTGCTGCATGACAGTAAACTAGTTTAACTAGTCACTACCACTTAAGTCATCACGCTGTCAATATCCCAGACGCAATTGTTTATGAATTTCTACATATGTTTAACTCGCTACTCCAGATAACTCATCATTGAGTTATTTTCCCTTGAAGCGATGAGTTATCAGGAGTTTAGTGTAGAAGAATCTAAATAACCCAAACCCATTTATCTTGATGAAGTCTCTCCAAAGCTTCTTGCAGCTTTACTTCAACAGTGAACCTACTGATCTGAAAATCATGTGGATTAAAAACAAAACACAGACATGAATTTAATCTAATCCACAAGCAGCCAGCAAAACCCTTCCGTCGTTTCCCTATACCCATCAGACACTCCATTGTCAGAGTTTGCACCCTGTGATACTAAAAATAATGTTGTTGTGACAATAAAGTCACTCAAACTTCAAAGATTGCTTTATTATTGTAATCGTAACCCTAAATAATTAGCATACATAACAAGTTCAGTACTTTAAAATTTATATTATGAACATTTTACCCATACTTGTCCTTATTTTTCTCCAAGCGTTATTTTTTTCTCCCCATCTCTCTCTCTCTCTCTCCCCCATATATAATATAAATAATCTGTCCTTTTTAAAGTTTAATTACCTTTAGCCCTGTAGTCCACCTCTGCGCTGCCCCTAGTGCCTGCTGTCCACCTCCAAACATACACTTAAGTCATATAAATCAGACCTATACACATTACTCTAGTAAAGTTGCAGGCCAGCCAGAACACCGTGATGCTGTAGTGAAGGACTGGCAGCTACTATTGAATGCTAAAATCTTAAAGGCACTGTTTCCCCACCCCCCACCGTTGATGGTTTATCCAGTTATGTGAAGCGGCAAAGTTTTACGTCTCAGAATCATTCTTAACCACAAAAGAGCACGTCTCCTTGTCAGATCCAGAGAATAGCTTCCACAATTTACTGGTCATACCCTGCCAGAGATGTACAGAACCCCCATTGACTGTGTTTTTGTCAGCTACATTTTAACTCATTCTAAAAGAAAATGAGACAAGCGCACTATGAACAAATCATGCAAAGCATCAACAAATCAAAACAGCCACTCTGAAGGAAAGCACCTCTGAAAATGTAGCATTCTCTAAGCACTGCTTTGGAGCATCAGCCTCGACAATGAGTTCAAATCTCCAAACCCTAAACCTTCTGACTGAGTGCTACCAACTAAGCAATTAACTAAACTAAACAATCAAATAAACTAATTAACACTTTATGTTAATTCTTCCACAAAGAGAAGTCATACTGAAAAGCACATGAAACAAAATTAGGATTTATGAATTGTAAACATAATTAGTGAAATTAGCTCCAAAGCCTATTACAGCCCAGTAATTGCTCATCTAATACGCCTCTGATGGCATCAAGCAGCTTCAAAGGATTCTGCAAAATTACATTAAAAAATTCAGTAATACAACAAAAACGTGAATTATAAAACAGGCTAAGTTGCCATTATTTATTGTAACCTGGTGAAATGAAGCTCATTTAGCATTTTAACACTGTAAAACCACTTAATTTGGGTTTGGCTTTTTTGGTGGAATGGCTTTACTTCTCGATCTTATTTTTGTTCACACACACCAAGGATTGTGCTTACCTACTGAATTAGTGACACTTCCTACACATAGTAGGCATGTGCACAATGTGCAGGACGTGATGTCTGACACTTTACAGTGCTAAAATGCTATTTGCACAATACATGTATTTGCACAACACTCAGGAAAATATGTCAGTAACACTTCCTGCACAAAGAGTGTACGTGCACAATGTACAGGAAATTACATCAGTTGCTACCTGAATTCCTGGAAGGTGGTCATGTTTTCATGATAATGCAAAGTGCAAGTTCCTGACCCTGAGCCAACACCATGTCATAAAGGAATCGCCCTGTATGCCATTTATATCATATATGTCAATTGCCAAAGTTGTCCACAAGATTACAAAGCAACGCATCTTGCTTCACTGAGCGGGCTCTCCTGTCATCAGCTGCAGGCAGTTGAAGTGCTTGAGTTTTCAAATTCAGTTCCCGTCTGTGGCTTGAAGCTTTCTATTGTGCTTCATTTTACAAAGTAACTTTGAATACACTCTTCATATCTTCTATGTATATATATATATACACACACACCAATAAAATGACAATGTCTGCCTGTGCTTCAAGAAGGATCTCAAATAACCGATTGACTTAGAGACATGATTTATACCCCATCGAAAAGGTCTTGGAACTGGGAGTGACATGGGCACATTTGTTTCCATTTATCTCCTATTCATGAGTTATTTTCAGTTTTGCATTTTGTGCTGCAGTTACACCTGGTGGCCGCCGAGTCAAAGTGGCGCTGTGGCATCGTGCGTCACAGAGCATCTACGTAGGTACGCACGTGCTGCAGTTACACCTGGTGACCACCCGGCTGACCATGGCGCTGTGGCATCCTACGTCACAAATTACGCACGTAGCCAAGCGGCGGGAGTAAAATAAAGAACACAGACTAAGCTACGCCACGGCAGCAACAACAAAATAACATTTTTAAAGGGCTGATTCTTCCACTGAGTCCTCCCGAAAAGAATCCTCCCACAGGAGTCCTCCCAGCCAAGAATAGATAAAGATGAAATGGCTGTCCGTGTGTTAATCTACATTCCATATTGAGTCCTTTGGTTGCAAGCGAAGCTGCACTGGGTACAACTAGTTATATATAAAAATCTTTCAGTGACCTGGATAATTGTGCGGTTGTCTGGGTGCCAGAGAAGCTGCTGACTCATGAGAGATCCTCCAGTTCCATTGATCATCACAGCCACAGACAAGTCTCTTGGGTCACCTCCAAAACACGGGCAGATCAGCAAGATCTGAATAACTGTTGGAAAGAACTGAAAGCAAAGAAACCTGTGGGATGCAGAGAAAGGTGTGGAGTAAATAATTACACCTTTTCTTTTCATATACTAGTTGGCTTATTCACACGTTCAAGTAAAAATCTCTATAACCCGGGCATATTAACACTTTTCCATCACTCCCACCCTCGCCCGACTCCACTGGATCCCCATCCTTCAGAGGATCGAGTTCAAGTTCCTCAGCCTCACCTTCAAGGCCATCCATGGCTTTGCCCTCTCCTACCCCTCTGACCTGCTGACTCCCTACAACCTTCCCGCTCCCTCCGTTCAGTGGGCTCCAGTCTGCTCCATGTCTCCTGACCGACCCACCCTACCATCGGTGGCCGAGCTTTCAGCCTCTCTGCACCCACACTCTGGAACTCCATCCCACAGTCCCTTCGCCTCACTTCCTCCCTTGCCTCCTTCAAGACCGGTCTCAAGGCCCTCCTGTTCGATCATGCCTTCAGTCACCCTCCCACCTCTCTGCCTTTTCTCGTTGGGTTGTAAGGTTCACTTAATGGTGGACATAACCGGTCTGCAGCCTTGGGCAAAGGGTGTGGCCAGAAAAGATCAATTTATCTGTTAGCCAAACTTTTATATTGGGAATCCATGAACAAAGTCATTTGCAATTTATATTTTAAGGCAGAAAGTTGCATTAGTTCAATAACAGTTACAATAGGCACGGTTACAACAAACAATATTTCCGGTTATGCTGATGTAATACTTATTGTAATAATGATAACACAATCCATAAGTTCGTAAGCAGTAGGCGAACATCTCTTGCTTGGGTTCATTCGAAGGTACAGCCAGTAGTGGAATCAATGTCGCTGTTGAGCCTGGGAAGTACAGCCAGTAGTAGCGTTAGCGCTTTGTTTAACCGATAATGGTGTGCGGTGAATCAAAAATCTCTTCTGTGGAGCTGGAATGTCGATAATAGCAGGCGGCAAATTAAAAGGCCAAAGTTGAATCTCAAGCAGTTGTGTTGCAGATGTATTGCTCGGATTCATTTGAAGGTACAGCCAACAGTACAGCTAGTAGCAAAATTAACAACTGGGAAGTAAGGCCAGTAGTTGCATTAATACCCTGTTGAGCTAATAAGGTGGGCGTTGAATCCCTAGCAGTTGTGTTGCAGCTGTATTCATGTATGGCTGCAGTTCTTCTGTTCTTCTCTTTTGCTGTCACTCCAAGACGTTGCCCCACGTGAAGGGTGTTATATAAATGCAACTTGGTGTTGCTTTTTCCAATATTGCTGGAACCTTGGAACATTCCAGGTTGAGTGTCTTGAGTCGCAAAACCTGCAGTCGAAGTTCTGCCTTCCTAGAGGAGCAGAAAACGTAGTCACTTTCTCACTGACTTGATACCAATTCTGACCGAACAAAGTGTAGCTTAGTTATACTGTACCTCTTTTATAATTGTCCTTTTTAAAAATAAAGCATCAGGATGGTCCGTGCAAATCTGCACATCCTCATCCACCTGATAGTTGTTTTCAGGCTGGTTTAAACAAGCTGGGACCGTTCTTGGGTACATTATCCATGAGCTGATTCTAATTAAAACAACAATGTAGGATTGTTAACATCAACAACTAACAAAAGAGCTGCAGTTGTATTAAACATGTTTCTTACTTCTGAAACAATTCAAGCCTTCAAGGCACACTTACTGCTACTTTCCCATAATATTTTACCTCAAGCTATACCAACTATCCCATAATTTACATCAGGCTTAGATATAAACTCTATAATTTAGCTAACTCGGATTAGTCTTAAGGTGTCTGCAAATCATTTTAATATGAACTAAAGATTGCATGAGCATTTCTAGCTGAACTAAAATAATATTTTAAGCAATAACAATCGAGTTCAACAGGGACTTTTACTTTTGACCAGTGTACAAATAGAGCAAACAGAGTTCTGTCCTACAACTTCACTGGTTCCTGTAGCAGGGAAGATGACTGGAGAGGCTGTTAACCAACCTGGAAATAAATTAGACACATAGAGTGAGGTTAGTGCCTAGTGTCCTCTTACATAGTTCTGAAACACTGGTAAAAATGTTTGGGATCAACTCCATTTACGTAGAATCAACCATCTTCCTCGCCTTGGTGTGGCTGAGCAAATTAAATACTTAAATTTATATTTAAAATTGAAAACTATCACTTGACCTCTGTGAGCACACCCGGCTGATCAATACGTTTCTGATTAAAGGTACGATTACAAGGGAGATCATCTGTGTTTATAAGCTGCTGTTTCAGGAGGCGTAGGACCGTTCTTGGGTACATTACCTTGGGTCACCTCTACAGTGCTACTGACTGTAACTTCTCTTGGACCTGGTGTCTTCCCACAGATAACGACATCAGGACCCACTGGCCTCCAGGATCCTCCAGACTTGTGAATTTATTGGTCTGTCACCTTTTTTGGGGAGTTGGGGAGGGGACTTCTCTCCATGCGCACCTTCATGCAAAACCAACTTTCGGTTTCACATACAGAGGTCGTTCCCAAGTGCCCCACAGAAGAAATACTTTCCCTGGGATTTAGTGACATCAAACAAGTTCCACCTATGCACAGTATGAATGACAAAGGTCTTGTAGCAGGTCCCAGAGGTTCATCGGGAAGCTGCCCAGACTGCACAGCCAGAGAATCCATAGTGTTGCAGTTTGATAGGCCCAAGCCCAACACCGGTCATCGTAGTGATTACACCAGGAGCCAGTGCTGAACTGAGCCACAGACAGCGCGATAAACACCATGAATTTAAACCACGGTGGTCCAAATGGTGGCACACGGGGCAATATCGCAGTATCATCCAGGCCCCCCCCCCACACCCTACATTTCACCTGGCCCACCTGCTTCCTCCATACCAGTAAATGTTATT